ACACAAGCAGCCCTCCCCACCCACAGGGACAGGAAGTGGGAGGAGTCGTGAGCAGAGCCAAGCAGGACCCTTCACCACCCTCACAGCGATGGCTCTAGTAAGCTGCACTGGCTCGGGCTGCCCTGTTGTCTCCTCCAGGTGATCTGTTCAGTTGCTGAGCGGACCTAGTCCTTTCCCAGCGCCGATCTGGTGCATCCGTTGCCTCCCTGCCAGGAGTCCCTCACTAGAATGTTTCAGGAGGTCCCCTTTTGATCTAGGAGTTGTGTTAAAGATCTCTGATACCAACTCAGCATTTCCTGAGGGTGAAAATCTGTAGGGCTGGGAATGGGATTTCAGTTGGCACAGTGCTTGCCTGGCGAGGATGGTGCCCTGGAGCGGATCCTCAGTACTGCACAAAACCACTGGTGCAGGCACATATATGTAGTCTGTTCTAGTTACTCTTCTATTGCCGTGTGTCTTAGTGAAGGTTTCTATGGTTGTGAAGGTCACCATGACCACGGCAACTCATACAGGAAAACATTTAGTTAGGGCTTGTGCACAGCCCAGAGGTTTAGTCCATCTTCATCATGGCACGAAGCGTGGCGACATGAAGGCAGACATGCTGCTGGAGAAGTAGCGGAGGTGTGTACAAGCTGCCCACCAGGCCGCAGAGAGTAAGCCACTGCCTGCTTTGAGCTTCTGTAACCCCAAAGCCCACGCCTACTGACACGTCCCTCCAAGAAGGCCACCTACTCAAACATAGTCACACCTCCCATTAGCGCTACTCCCCGGGAATCAATGGGCTCTTTTCATTCTAACCACCTTGCTGCGTCAAACGCCACTCACAAGGAGTGTCTTTGATTTGTGGCTTACAGTTTCCAAGGGTTAGAGCTCAGGACCACCACAGTGAGGAGCAAGGCAGCAGGCAGGGAGTCCTGGTGCTTATCATGGCCACTCTTGTTGTCAACTGAAGTACACCTGGACTTAACTGAAACCCAGAAGACCAGGCACACCTGTCATAGATTTTCTTAATTAAATCATTTGAGTGGGAAAATCTACTTCTAATCCAGATCTTTGAGACAGGCTATCACACCTTTAATTTTGATGTTTCCAGGTTGGAAGGTCCATCTTTGATCTGGAACACAGCTTCTACTGGCAGCCTCTATAAAGGCATGGATTAAGGAACCTTGTTCTCTCTTTGCCTGCTTTCTCTCGATTTCACTAGCAAATCCATTCCTTCACTGGCAATTAATTAAAAAAAATCATACTATCAGATGTGAAGGTCTAGGCTTTTAATGCCAAACCTCTGGAGGGTCTTTCAGGAGCATCTTTGTGAGTTCAAAGTCAGCCTAGAAACTGAGTTCTGAGCCAATTTAGGTCTTACAGTGAGAGCCTCTTTCCAGCAAACAAACAAAAACAAAACAACTAAAACCCCCAAATGAATAAGCAAACACCAAGCAAAGAATAAATCACAATGCTAAGTCTGGGCCTGTCGAAAGGATGGAGCAGCACCTAAACCCTCAGAAAAGTTGATGTGGCTGCTCCACCTTGAAGGGAAAGTTATAAATAAAAGTCTCTCCTTTACTTGACTTCATTCCCTTGCCTTCTTCCTTCTTTGTCTAACCTCCCCTCTCTCTCCCTCTCCATTTTCTGCTCTTTCTATATCAGAGCTGGAGATTCCCTTTGTATTCCAAGCTGATTTCCAGCCCCTTGGCTCAGGCAGCTGTAACAGGCATCTGATCCCAGCTATTTCTACTCTAGTGGGCTCTAGCTACTTTATGGAAGGTCCCTGGAAGTTTATTGATTGAAATATTAATTTCAGTTTAAACTGTCTTTATATCCATACTTAAACAGATATTTAGCCAAATACTTGGATCCCATGGTCTGGGCAATTCTGTGTACAATAGAATCAACCATTATTGATTTTTACATATTTTTAGTTCTACCTGAGAATACTGGACCTTTACATTATAAAGGTCATGTAATCTCTGTGTTATGGAGAAATCCACCTATCATAGAAGAACAGAATAGATGACTAAAGTGGAACTTGAGAAAGTCCATGGCCAAACATTGTGGAGAAAGAGAGACTATGTGGCCAAATGTCCAGTTTCCCAGTAGCTCAGAACCGCCGGGGAAGGGCTAGAAACTAAATGGATGAAATACTGGACAACCATGTAGCCCTGCAGGATCATTCTACACAGAGAGAACTCCACTCCCATTAGATGCAATGGACAAACTCTGTTCTTCGGGTCTGCCATCAGTCAACCCCTAACCTCAGTGAAAAGAATGACAGTGACCAGGTGACCACACTGGTGTTGAGCCGTGCCACAACTGTGCGTAA